GGAAGACACAGGTTCTTTGATTGCAAGTGACCACAGAGTGCCATGCAGGACAAAGGGGGAAAGCTACACCTAAGCACATGGTCGTTAAATTTCATACACTTGAGGTTAAACAGAAAATCCTAAAACAGCCTAGTGAGAAAAGAAAATACTCAAATTAATGAGATTCAATGTTATGTAAGCATTCCTCTCAGCAAAACTAGATGTGAGAAGGCAGTAATATATTATTTTTTATTGTTGGCACTATTACCGATGTCCCCCACTCCCACCCCTCTGTGCCCCCTCCACCCGGCACCCTGCCCCCAGCTTTCACCACATTGTCTGTGTCCATGGGTTATGCATATATGCATGTATATTCTTTGGCTAATTTCTTCCAGTCCCCCCTCCCCTCCCCTCTGAGATTGGCCAGTCTGTTCCATGCATCCGTGCCTCTGGACCTGTTTTGTTTGTCAGTCTATTTTGTTCACTAGATTCCACATATAAGTGAGATCATATGTTAACATTATTTTTAAAATGAACGATTTAAGACATTTTCAGTCAGGTTCAAACCAAAAACGGAAACCAAAAACCCTGAATGACAAAGTAACAAATATAGGTGGAGAAACGAACAGATTTATTAGATAATTTACAAATGGTCAAAAATCATGTTAAAATATGCTTGACATCACAAGTAACCTAAGAAATGCATGTTAATCAAGGTGGTAGGATTTTTATCAATCAGATTAGTAATTTAAAAAAATTTTTTATGTATTTATTTTTAATTCTCACCTGAGGGTATTTTTTCCATTGCTTTTCAGAGAGAATGGAAGGGGGGAGGGAGGGAGAGAGAGAGAGCGAGAGAGACATCGATATGAGACACATTGATTGGTTCCCTCCCGCACATGCCCCAACCAGGGCTGGGGATCGAACCTGCAACTGAGGTACCTGCTCTTGGCTGGAATCAAACCCGGGATCCTTCAGTGCTCAGATGGTTGCTCTAACCACTGAGCAAAACTGGCTAGGGCCAGATTAGTAATTTTTTAAAAACACCTATAATTTCCAGTGTTGGCAAGACTATGGAGAGTATAATTGCTCCACTTATTGAGTGCTCACTCTACGCTTGGTACTGTGCTACTTTGCATGTGTTGTTTTCTTTAATTCCTACCCTATGCCCAGATCCTGTATTTTTAAATCCTAAATGACCCTGTTGGAGATTGTACCTGACAGGTGAGGAAACTGAGGCTTCCAAGATAGGTCACTTGCCCAGCATTGCAGAGCTAGTGGGGAGTAGATCTAAGGTCTCAAGGTCAAATATGCTAAAGGGTGTAAGCTGTAAGGGGTGGGGTGGAGGCACAGAGAGAGCAGGTCATGGGGGGAAGGTAGGTAGAGATACAGGCTGAATTTTTTTTTTTTATGTCGCCAGAGTAACGTTCAAATATGTTTATCAACATTTAAGGGTGATCGCTAGTAGAATGAAATAACAGAACGTCCTCACTCTGACTTCCAGATCTGAGGAGAGAAGGGCTACATAGGGGAACCTTAAAAAAGGAACAGAAAAGACATGGTCAGAGGAGAAATGGAGAAATGGAAAACCACAGGAAAGCTTAACTATGCAATCCGATGACTGGATGAAATGGATGGGTTATCCCAGGGACCCACCTCCCCTCGTGGAAAGAAAGATTTACAGACAAGGTGAAAAAAATAAAATGCTGTTTCCAGCCACATCCTGGGAGCAGATAATAGAAGAAGGCTGAAATATACCTGAGAAATTCCACTGCAAATAAAAATGCATATCACACAAGGGATGTTTCCAAGCTGGGAAAAAAAAAAAAGCACAGAGGAATTTTTGGAAAGCACCTGACAAAATCCAAATGCAGGCAGGATGCGCAGATGGATCCGAGGAAGGGTGAAAAGCAAGAACAGGAAAATCCCAGTCTCGCTCCAGGTAGCCAGAAAAGAACCCCAGAGGAATGTGTTAGCCTGATGCAAAGCCCATCCCTTGAAATCTAAACGGCTTCTGGCCCTGGAGAACGTTGCTGCAAAATATACTGGAGCAAAAGGCAAGGAGAATTGTAAAACGCATGCACCTAAAGTGAGAATCATTGAATGAACACATGTGCATTCACTTGAGCTCACAGGCGGGAGATGGCCTGGGTTTTAACCCAGGCCTTGTTACTCAGGCAAGTTATTTAAACTCCCTGGGCCTGGCTTTTCTCATCTGTAAAATGGGGGTGATTATAATAGTGCCCACCGCATGAGATTATTATCTCGATCGAATGTGTTAATGTTTAAGTGTGTTTTGCACATAGAAAATGTCATGTGTGGTTGCCAAGTGATACATCGTGCTGTAAAATCAGTGCCATTCTACTTCGAAATCCCGAAATGACTATTCTTTGTAAACTGGCAAGCTAATGCTAAAGCTCATTTAGAAGAGTGAAGACATGTGGCTTGATCAAGACAACGTCGGAAAAGAAAGTGAGTGAAGGGCTCGCTCTGCTTCGCTGCTGCCGAGGTTCCCTGGGAAAGAAGAGGCGACATACTGAAGGACTAGGATAGAGTCTGGAAGCCAGCTAGGCCCAGAACACATCAGCCCTGTCCTAGATACAACATTCCAGGGAAACAGTTACTGAAAACAGTTTCCTAAGTTACGTTCTCTGTGTACAAATGCTGGCGATGCTATTAAACGTGATCATTGTGCATCCTCTACAGGAGACGGCAGACACACAGAAACAATCAGAGGTGGTTTTCTTTGCTAATGTTTGACAGTCTCATGCATTAATGAGTTCAGTCTGCTCCTGCTTTGTTTGCTGAGTGATTTCTGAACTCACAGAATTAACCAAAGGGTAAACATAATAGGATAAATATCGAGGGGATAGGAAATAGGTGAGGAAGACCTCATGCGATTCCCCTGGGCAATGGGACACAGATGAGTCTTTTGGCCTAAGAGTTGCCCGGGTTGCACACTGTTTTCCTTCGGCCGCACGTTTAGGGAGGTATTACAGCTCAGAAGAACTCGTTCCTTCTTCAGCTCAAGGCAAACTTCATGAATTACAAGAAGCTTTGGAACCGCCTTGCCTTACCTTTGACTTACAGGAGATGCTCAAAAAAGATAGAATGGCAGCTCTGACCTGTTAGAAATATTTTATGAACAATATGGAAAACAGGACATACTAAAAATCTGAAGTTGCTTTTAGAGGAAGTAGTTTGTTTTTTCTGGGACTTGTTGCAGAAGTAACCAGCCGATGGAGTGCAGTTTTGTGTCCTGTGTGTGTGTGTGTGTGTGTGTGGCATTGCTCTAAGCTTCTCCCAATTTGCACTCTGAGCAGAGGCTGCAGATAGTGGGCGTGCAATACAACTGAGATACAGATGAAAATTCAGAGTTCATTTTGTTACCTTGAAAAAAATCACTTTGCTTCATTGTCATAGTCTAGGTCCAGGTTTTAAGAACGAAATATCAGGGGAAAGTTTGGAGTTACTTTCTGACCTGATTGGTGTATTTCCAGCTTTTTTTTTTTTTAAATCTTTCCCCCCTCCCTCCACTTCTCTCTGCTCTGCTCTTCTCTGAACTGTCTTTTATGTTTCTTTAAAAGATTGTTTGGCCAGGTGGGGGGTGGGGGGGTGCGGGGGGTGGATTAACTCTCCCATTAGTATGGAAAAGCTAATTGAGAAAGACTAAATTCTTTTTGGTTTGATAGTTCCTAATGTTTTGATCTGTCCAGCCAGCCATCTGCAAACTACACGCTGTCTGCTGAGGGACTGGCAGGGCGACAAAGAAATGGAAAACTGTAAAAGAGTCACCATGGGATGTGAGCAGAGTGTTTTTGGCAGCCCCGCTGAATTAAGACCATAATCCTTTTCGGAAATCAGCCTGAGACGGAACTGTTCACAATAAATGTGGAATTAAAAGCATAACGTAGTAGTGACCCAAAAGGAGTGCGAGTTCTCCAGGACACGCAGAGCCCCGTGGGTGAACGGCCTCTAGGTTATTGCTCCAGATATCCTGAGAGTAAGTTAACCTCTAAAACTCGGGTTGTGTTGCCTACGGAAATAGAACCTATGACTCCAAACAGGAAATTCCAAACATTTGGATGGAAACTAGTAAATGCAGTAAGTTATTAATGAGCTGCTGGGTTTTTCAAATCATCTGAGTGTTTTATATTGCATGGCTAAATCATCCGTTGGAGAAGTAAGATTATTTTTTTCCCCCTTCTCATTTTTACACCATGACTGAAGCATATTTGGACAAAATAGAATATATTATCTAATAGGCTATTGGAGAAATGGAACGAAATGTAACTTTCTGTTCCCTCTTTGCAAGTGGGAGCCACTTGCCGCGTTATTAGACTGACTTTTATGTTTGTTTTCAATGTTACTGCCAGAGGATTTGTAAGTACTGGGGGAGGGATACACGATTTTCAGAGTTTAGAATTGTGTTAACTGGCTTGAGAATATTTTCATCAGGAAAACTTAGGGCAGTGTTTTTATGGACCTTGTTTATCATGCTAAGTACGTAAGAATTTCGATCTAACGTGTTGTGCAATGTATTTATGCTCTAAATACTGGGAATTCTATCTGGCAGGAATCGACTGGATTTTTTTTATAGCTAAGTTATTATTTCTAAATCACACGATTTTCGGAGCAATTTCAGCTAGTTAGATGTTTTGTGCTACTCTGGTGAGTCATTTGGTTTTTTTGCTTTTTTTCCTGATATTTTACATCAGGCTGTGCTGTGGGGGAAACAAAATCAGTGTTAACAGTGAGAGACAAATAGGCACAATGAAGACCATCAGATAAGGTTCGTTCTGCCTTTATTCATAAGTAATTCTCAGCACAGGCACTAATCACAGAAAGAGAGTGGGCAATATATTTAACCCTTTCATGCCCTGGTTCGCCACGGCAGTGAGGTCCCGATCTGCATGTGGCCGCTGCTTCCAGGGGGGTCCTCCCGGCCACAGCCTGCTCCCGTGCGGTGGCATCAGGAGCTTCTCCGCACGGCTCCCGAGTCGTCCTGCTCATCCCGGGGCAGCTGCTAAACGTAAACTCACACCCTCCTGGGTTGTGTGAAAGGCACGTCCTTGTGGAAGGAGCCTCCAGCAACTGTTTCTGACCCGATGCTCTTGCCTCGGACTGTGTTAGGATTTCTCCCCCTCTTGTTCCCGGCCCCCTCTCATGCTCCCGTATCCATTTGCTATTTCAAATGACCACGTACTCAATGGCTTAAAACAAAACCGATTTAACACCTCAGAGCTGGGAGGTAAGATGCGTGATGTGAGTCTCGGGGGGCCACAACCAAGGTGCTGCTGGCAGGGCTGCGTTCCTAGCTGGGCGGTGCAGGGAAGGGTCTGTTTTCTCGCCGTTGCAGCCTCTAGGGGCTGCCCCCATTCCCTGGTTCTTGCCCTTTTCCCTCCGCCTTCAAAATCAGCAATGGATTGAATCCTTTATAACATCCATCCCTCTGACCTCCTCTCCTGACTCCCTTCTTCGATTTTTAAGGACCCCTGTGGTCACATTGGGCCCTCCCAGGTAACCCAGCAGTACCTCCCTGGTTTAAAGTCAGTGGCTTAGCAAACTGACTCCCACCTTACCCCATACCTCAGTTCTCCTTTGCCGGGCAACGTCATAGGGTCACAAATGCCAGGACTAGAACACGGGGCCATTATTCTGCCTACCAGTTCTCTTCAACGATTCCTTGCCTCTAAGACGTAAGTAGCAACAGCACGCCATTCCCAACAATACAGTATAGTTAGGCTCTATTTCCCTGCCTCCCCCGGTTGAGTTGCCTCCTGAATACCAGCAGGGGGCAGCATGGGCCAGGTCAGGACTTCAGTCCTGGAACCTAACAGCCTAGAGCAACCGCGTGGGTAAAATTAGGGAAGAGACAATAGCAACCCTGTGATTCCCATCCCTGTTCAATAGGGCACCAAAGGAGGGTGCCACTACCTTGAAAACCAGGTCTCTCTCATTGACCAACCAGCCTGGTGCTCCAAGCACTGTCCTAGGAACATTTCCTGGACCAATCCCCCTCCCCCTCCCAGTAGAATGTTGGGTTTGTTAACTAAGATGAGGTCTTCTCTTTTCTTTATCAACTGAGATAATTCATGGGCATTCACACACTACGAGTCCGAGTCTTTTTCTTATTCTGCCTTATGGGAAAACAGCAAGGTATGCCCTCTGCAAGGCAACTGTGTGGCTCATTCTGGGAAACAGACTAGTAGTTCTTGGGCTGCGCTAAGATGACCATATAAATAATGACATTCCACCAACGCTACCAGATCCAGTGTCATATCTGAAGTCTGCTGCCTTCATTAGGCTTGAAGTGATTAGTTAATGGCCCTTAGACAGATATGTCCTGGACCATCTACTTTGTAAGAATCAAAGTGTAGTTTGTGTGTGTGTGTGTGTGTTTTTAATTGATCTTATTGTTGAAAGTTTTACAGATGTTCCCTTCCCCCACCCAATTGATCCCCTCCACCCCACACCTACCCCACCTCCAGGCCTTCCCCATATTGTGTCCATGAGTTATGTGTTTTTAGTTCTATTGCAAATAGATTTTCTTCAGTGTTCTTCTTGATTTTGTCTATTTTGGTAGATTTTTCCAAAGGAAATTGAGCAAGTCACTTTTTTTAATTCCACTTGGAAGATACTGGGCTGATTTTCATTCCATTACAAACTGTTTGCTCCCTCCTGAACTACTCGATTCCTATCCTGTCAACTTGATTCCTTAAAAAAATAAAGTAAATTTGTAAATCCTCACCCGAGGATATGTGGTTTTTTAAAAATTGATTTTAAAGGGGCGGGGGAGAGAGAGAGACACGGATGTGAGAGGGAAATACTGACTGCTTACCTCCTGTACGTGCCCCGACTGGGAATCAAACCTGCAACCTTTTTGGCATACGGGACAGTGCACCAACCAACTGAGCCACCTGGCCAGGGCTGGTCAACTTGATTCTTTATAGACTTTTCCCTTTATCCTTTGAAAAATATTATTTTTGATATTTCTTTGTCATTGCATTTGGCACTAGGAGAGCCTTCTGGGTAATACGCATGTCTTCCTACTACCTTGAGATATTATTTCTGTTGTATTTTTACAGTGTTTTTCTTGCAACTGTATGTTCTTCCTTTTGGATATCGCTTCATCAAATACTTTACTATTTATCTTTTTTTTTCATTTTAGTTATTTTTAATCTCATTTCCAAATATGTTTGAAAAATTAGGAGGATCACAACATTTTCTCTGTATTGTGGAAGGCACGGTCTTCATGACTACAGTCAGAATTTTTAGTATGTTATTTGCTTTTAATTTCTTTCCACCTTCTTGAATTTTATTAGGTCATTAGATGAAAGACTTTAAAATTTTCTCCTATTTATTGTAGTCCAGTTTTCCTTTTAAATATTACATATTTTTCTTTGCTTTTTGAGGATAATCTACCCTTCTTTATGTTCCAGGATTTGGGGCTTCCCATAACGATTGTACAGACTGGAGTGTGTAGATAGAAGCCCGAGTGGATCCCTCCTAGAGCCCCTCACTGTTGATCTAGATGATGGTAGAGTCTCTGATCTTGCACCAAAGGGAGCCATGACCCACACTCCCTGGACGAATTTCCACGACAGTGTGGCTCGTGGCGAAGCCTGAGGGCTCCAGAACTTCACCCTCTGGGTTCAAGGCCTGGTCGTGTCACCCTTAGCTGTGTTTGGGGGGGTCACTTTGCCTCTCTGGGCTTCATCTTCTTCATCTGTAAAATGGGGAAAACAGTAAGGTCTATCCCAAAGGTTTATTGCGAGGATTAAATTAATCAATCCTCACAGGCATCGATTAAAATTTGTTTCACAGCGCCGTGCCCCAAGCGTGCACATGCTGAAGAGCATCTTCCTAAAGGCCCTTCGAGGACTCCTGTGAAAACTTCCCCGGTACAAACCCGCAGCCCCCACAGGAGACTGAACAGTGCCAGGTGGTGCCGAGAACCCTTGGCTCTAGGAAACACTCTAATTTCTGTCGGTCCAGTTGAGGAGTCAATACAGATGATATCTAATGATTTTTAAATGTTTCATTTCGACAGTGAGCTCGACCACCCTTTTGTCTGTCTTTTAGCCCTTCCGCTCCCCTCTTTGCTGTTGCGACGCCTCTTCTTGGTTTGGTTGCACAGCGTTCCCTGTTTCACGCTTCCACATTGCCTTCTTTCTTTTAAATAAACAGGTCGGGATGAACAAGAGGCACGTGAGCGTGGGCCAGCAAACGTGGGCCCTCCTCTGCAAGAATTTCCTGAAAAAGTGGCGGATGAAGAGAGAAGCCCTGTTGGTACGTTATGGCCCCGGGCCCCCGTGTCCTCGCAGGGGGAGACGAGGCAGTGTTTGCTCAGGCAGCACAAACGCCGTATCTTCATTATTTAGACCGCTGCGTATATATTCTATTTCTAACTAACAGACTGGACTTTTTCTAAATTATGGACTTTGCTATTATTTCAAATGAGATTCCTTTAAACTATATTATTATTATGTGTTTTTAAAGATTTATCTTTATTTCTGAAAGTATTACAGATGTCCCTAAGCAACATGGAAACACAAGTGTTTTAAAGTGTCTGTGGCCGAGCAGCTACTGACTTTCCGTCTCCTCTCGTTGCTGTGCAGGAATGGTTTTTCTCACTGCTGCTGGTGCTGTTTGCGTACCTGTTTTCTTTAGCTGTACACCACACTGATGACTTCCTTCAGATGCCTGCCAGGGACCTGGGACGTGTAGATCACTTCAATGATTCTGATTATGTTATTGCATTTGCACCCGAATCCAAAACTACCCAGGAGATCATGAACAAAGTGGCTTCAGCCCCATTCATGAAAGGTACGTTCTCCAGAAATTCAGGGCAGTGCCCTTGTTTGCAAAATACACAGGTTCGCTTTGGAATTCCTTTGAGAAACTGTGTTAAATGCTTAAGTTTCTAGATTTAATTCACAATATTAATGCACATTCCTTTCTAACATCAAGGAGATTTTCTTACCATATTTACTAGTCTCCTGGTTAGGAAGTTTTATATTAAGAGGGTTTTCCTTTTTATAGTCCATATTAAAATGAGATAGTTCAGGATTGTTCAAATGTATGTTTGTGAGAATATTCTGAAAAGATTGGCCAATGGTGAGAGCATAGTTTTTTAATCTCTTGAGATACATAAAAATTGAGAGCAATTAGACAGCAAAACCAAGAAACCATAGGCAATGTTTACAACAGACAGGTGATAGGTGTTTCCTTGAGCCCCCAAACATAAGTGAGTGGGGCAGAAGCCCTAACAACCACAAGGCATGCAGCAGGGTATCTGATGGGCCCGAGAACAGGATGAGAACCCATTGCGAAGAAACCAGTAGCCACTGCAACGCAGAGAGAACCAATCTGAGGATGATCGAAACCATTTTCAGTAATTGCAGTGGTGGTGTAGCATTAGAATGCTGTTCCCAGGCTGTTATATACATAAAGTGGGACATACCAAATAACTAATTATAGAATAGTCTAATTCTCTCACCCCTGGGTCCTTGGAACGCAGGAGTTTCAGTGCAGGAGGAAAGGAGATGCAGAGATCTGGGGCAGGACATTTACAGGGGAGGAATCTCCGCCTTCCAAATAGCTAGGAAACCACTGAGAGCAAATAGATTGTGTCCAAAAGAAACAACAAAACTCAGCAGTTATTGAAGAGATTCCCCCTGGTCAAAGCTGGCATATGTTAAGCTTCATCACCATGAATAAGCGCAAGGATTTGAAACTCATCCAATGTATATTTAAATGCACGCTTTCATCATGATGTTCAAAGACAACAATGTTTGCCTTTGGAGGACGATAGGGAATCAGTTGTTATGAACATTTGTAAATAAAGGGGAAGCACCAGCATTTATCCTATGTAAACTGTACTGTTGGCTAACCAAACAGATGCTGGAAAGTACTGTTTCATAAACATTTTCTATGACCAAATGAAAAACAAATGGTGGAAATAGGACGTCATCATTTTGAAACTCTTGTTGAATTAATGGATCTGAACGTGAGACAGTGAGAAATTATGATCCTGATGAAAGATTATGCCACCACCTGTAGTCCCGGCCCAAAGGATTGGACCTGGGTCTAATTAAACCTCTGGTCCAGCTGCCAGATGGCAGGAAATACAGAAGACAATGGAACACGTTGAATTTTGCCAGGCGTTTGCATTCAACAGAATCCAGGCTGTGGGTTAAATGGCCCAAATTTGGTCAATAAGAGTCATTCATTTACATTATATATTTTAGAATAAACAAAGTCTCTTGGGGGAAACACTCCCCAAATTGAACAATTCTATGCTCTCTTTGGAGTTTGGCCATATTGATGCCATTGTCAAATGGGAATAAATAGAGTGGGGCAAAAGTAGACTCACAGTTTTTGTATGGAAAATACTACAGTAAATAATAAACAAGAAGACAGGAATAAACTGTGTTTCCATGTACTCACAACTGTAAATCTACTTTGGCCCCACCTCGTATATTATAATTATAGGCTATATTTATAATTGTAGTATGTATTTCAACTTTGGACAGGGCTGTGCGCACTTGAGTTTAAATGTATGCATTGGTATTGCTATTATTCCAAAGTCATTGGTTAAACATTTTATTTGGGAAGGCACAATCTGTTTGTGATCAAAAGGATTGCCTCACAGCACTTCTGATTTTATCTAGAGCTTTAGAATCTCCACCCCCCCACTCCCCCACCCCACATACAGCAAGTGTGCATCTCTTATTTAGGACCAGCACTGCCTTTAGTAAAGAGGTGACTTTAACATAAAATAGCTTTACCGTGATTGCATAGGGTACGCTGTCTTTGGACGTAACTGTTCCCCTCTTTTACCTGGCAGGAAGAACAATCACAGGATGGCCTGATGAAAAAAGCATGAATGAACTGGATTTAAACTACTCTATAGATGCAGTGAGAGTCATCTTTAATGATAACTTCTCCTATCATTTAAAGTTTTTCTGGGGAGGTAGAATCCCCATAATGAAGGAACACAGAGACCATTCAGGTAACTTTCCTATTAGAAAAAAAATTTTTTTTTGCTGTTATGTCATTAGTCACAAGGAAGTATATGTGAGAACTGAAGTACCATACACAACATACCCATATTTTTAATTCCGGAAAGTAATGAGATTCATTCTTATCAAATAAAGCCTATGTTCTTAAGTATATTGTTTTATTAAGAATATATACTTGTGCCTCACCGTATATATTGTGGCTCAGTGGTTGAGCGTCGACCCATGAACCGAGAGGTCACCGGTTCTATCCTGGGTCAGGGCACATGCCTGGGTTGCGGGCTTGATCCCCAGTAGGGGGCATGTCACTGTACAAAACAACACGAGGTTCAATCAAGCACAAGAGAAAATGATGCATTCGAGATGCGGTCAACGTGAGATGGGGGAGGTTGCTGTTGACGTAACTTGGCGTACTGCTTTACAGCCAACTTTTTTTGGAAGGAGAAAGAGTACACTCTAAAACAATGATAAAACATATAGTATAGTGAATACGTAAGCCCGTAACATGGTCATTTACATGGTCCCATCAAGTATTTTGGATTGTACAAAATTGTATGTGCTGTGCTTTTATATGACTGGCCGTGTAGTAGGATTGTTTACAACAGTGTCACCACAAACATCCTAGAAACACATTGTACTACAATGTTATGATGGCTACGGTGTCCCTAGGCCAGCGATTTTCAACCTTTTCATCTCATGGCACACATAAACTACTAAAATTCTGTGGCACACCAAAAAAATATATTTTTTGCTGATCTCACACAAAAAAGGTATAATTTCAATTCATTCACACCGGACAGCTATTGTTGTATTGGCTGTTGTCATATTTTTATTTGACAATCTAAGGGAGAAGAGGTCAGTGCCCCTGATTGAATAGTCAGCTCCTAGGCTATAGGAATTTTTCAACTTCATTATATGTGGCCCATCATTGACCCCAATATAATTATATGGTACATAACTGTATTCCTGTGTTAGCCCTAAATACAACCTCAAGAAATGGCTCTTGCTCAATGATTTGCAAATATTTAAAAAACCTAGTGCTTTTTTGGCACAAGCAACGGAAGAGGAAACTCAACAAAATATTCTTGGCTAATGGAGAGAATCATCAGATTGAATGAAAAATTATTGAGAAGGAATCTTTACATGAGCAAAGCAACTCTAGTGTGCCCTCCTTGGGTCTACTCTACGAACCTCACCTGCAAAGCCCTCCCATGCGCTGTATTATTGTGAACTTGGAGCGCGTTTCGGAACATCTGGTCTTCATCTTTCCTATAACCAAGATCATCCCATCCCATCAAAATTGTTTATGTTGTCTTCTTTTTTCAAAGCTCATTGTAGAACAAGAGATAGAAAAGTCACCTGTGAATGCTCACTGTTCTGGGAGAAAGGCTTTATAGCGTTTCAAGCTGCCATTAACGCCGCTATCATAGAAGTGAGTATTAAGTGAAAGAAACAAATTGCACTGCAAGTTAAATTTTGATGGACGATTGGTATCTTTGGAATGGTCCTATCTTATCAATACATTAATTTATTCACTTAATTTACTGGGCACAGTGCGCTGAACAAATACTATGTGGTCATGACCCACTGTGCACCGCGATGTTAGGACGCCGTGTCACGAGGAGATGGGACCACTGTCGTACATGCAGTCCGTCACCGACCAAAACGTTGTCACGCGGTGCACGACTGTATTTAAATCATTGCACTAAGCACTGAGGGTCAGGAAATGAGTGGAACACAGGTGCTTTTCTTCGCGGATACTGGATAGTGAGGGGAGAGAAATGGACTTACAGTCATAATAAGAGTTTAGATTCTATCGTGAGATTACATATGGTGAGCTAGGCAAACAATGAAGCAAGATACTCTGATGAGATATATCAGAGAGGCCCTACTGACTGGAGTGACCAGCCGAGGCTTTGAGATTGAGTCGAACTTTGTCCAGTGAAGATGGTCGATAGGGCTATTCTGAGGAATCAAGACGAGAACTGGAGTGTGGCAGGAACTCCATGGGGACAGGCCATGACAGGCGTATTTATTTAAATGTGGAATGCACATAATTTCTTTCAAATGAGAGGAAGTGCATGAGGTTATAATTAGCCTCATACTAACAATTTGTTCATTAATATCTTTCTTTAGATCACAACAAATCACTCAGTGATGGAAGAGCTCATGTCAGCTACTGGTATCAATATGAAGATACTACCGTTCGTTGTTCAAACAGAAGTTATGACGAACATTCTCATTTTCTTCTGCGTTATTTCTTTCTCTGTGTTCATATACTATGTATCAGTCAATGTTGCCCGGGAAAGACAATACATGAAGCCCCTGATGACAGTGATGGGACTTCGAGAGGCGGCGTTCTGGTAAGTCCTTGGGCGCGGTCCGACACGCAGCGCACAGCAGCGAAGCGGTCGGCTGGACTCCGTAGGCCTATAAAGTGTCACATTTGAACTTGGTGGCTTTCATAAAGGAGTGCGTTAGGCGTAAGTGAGGTAGATGGACGTATAGGCTTGGTGAATGACACCTTTCATACTCCACTGAATTAAAGAAAGTCTAATTCTAGAGATGGCTGAAACCCAGACTCACTCGCCAATGCAAAGGACGGCTCTCAGTCGCTGGTTTCGGTCCACGGTATTTCTACAGTTCCTTTACCGAGACACGTCTAGAACCGACAAGTCCTCGGGACTGTTTTCCCCAAAAACCTCTCCCCCTCACTCTCATTTTATCACCTAGCTTCTTTCTTATTTTGTAACTAGCTGCCTGTTTTACCTGTTCGCTTATTTGTTGCCTACGTCCCCCTGTAGAATAGGAACTTGAGGGGCAGGTAAGCTTTTCTGATCGATGAGCTGTTGGAGTCCCTCTGCTCCTGCTTTGCGATGAGCTTCGCGGTCGCTTGCCGAGTGAAGGAGTGGGGCAGGTGGCGGCGACCCAGCAGGCCGCGCTGACGCCCCTTTCCCCGCAAGGCTCTCCTGGGGTGTGACGTACGCCGCCTTCATCTCGGTCACGGCGACTCTGATGGCGCTCATTGTAAAGGCTTCCCGTGTCGTGGTCCTAACGGGCTACGCGGTGGTCTTCGCCCTCACTCTCCTCTATGGCCTGTCTTTGGTGAGTTGGCGAACTGAACCCCTCTCTCCCTCCCCTTTCCCGCTCTCAGGAAAAGCCACCGGTTACTGACCACCGACCCCGCCCCCGCCCCTTCTCCCCTGTGTGCGGAATCTGAGCGTTTACGCGAGGAAGCATCTAGGGTGGGGAGGGAATGGGCGAAATAGAATTTGTATTATGAAATTCTTTTTGTTACGCTCCTGATGATTCCCAGAGGATTATATGCAACCTGACGCGTTTCTCTTGTCTCAGATAACTTTAGCCTTCATGATGAGTGTCCTGGTAAAGAAGCCCTTCCTCGCCGGCCTGGTCGTCTTCCTGCTCACGGTCATCTGGGGGGGTCTGGGCTTCACCGCGTTGTACAGGCATCTTCCTGCCTCTTTGGAATGGACCTTATGCCTTCTCAGCCCTTTTGCTTTCACAGCTGGGATGGCCCAGGTAAGAGCTGATGTGACTATTTAATTTCTTTACAAAATATTTATAACAGATTCCCTCTGAATAATTCATGCTACAGGTGCTGAACAGCAAAATTCCCATCTGCCTTCGTAAAGATACACACCGAAGAGATAGGAGATGCATGTTTTTATGTTTTTCCTCTTAGCCCAATTCGTTTTCTCTAAGTCCCTAAATGCAGGCCGATGCTCCATCACTGACGTGGTTCTGCTTTTACTTTTAATGGGCCATCCCAATGAAGACACATCTAGTTTAATGCTCAGGAATCATGACCCTAAATATTACCGCCAAGTATTTGAAAACCAAGAATTCCATAGAAATACATTTTTATTTTTCGATTGGCCAATTTAAATGAAACTGAATCTCCTCTCAGAAAATGAATTGTAGTTATGACATCGTAACTATAAATGCTAAATGAAGGGTGATGTTGCCTATAAACTCACTGTGTCCTACTATACTCAGTAATGGTTCTGTCTTCTGTCCTACCGCTGAAGTACGTTCACCCCTTCGTGGTTTTACTTCCAAATCCTGTCCCCTGTCCAGAATACCCCCCTTTTTCCCACCCTAAGCAGGATGCAACCCTGTAGGCAGCCCAGCCCAAATATCACCTCCCTTGAGTTTTACTTCTGCCGAGGGGGACTTGCCTCTGTGGCTGGTGGGACCTCCTTCCATTCACGTCCCAAACTGCTTTGTAGTGAGATGGTTTCATTCTTATATCTGCCAGTAGCTTAGAGCTCTGTGAAAAGAGGAATTATGTTTTATTTATCTTTTCAATCCAAGTGTCTATGATAAGACAATAATAATTCTCGATGCTCTGTGTATCCTTTTAATATTCAACGTATGTGTTTTTTTCAGCTTATACATTTGGACTATGATGTGAATGCAAGCACCCATTTGGACTCTTCAAACCCAAACCTGATAATAGCTACTTTTTTCATGTTGATTTTTGATACTTTGCTCTACTTGGTATTGACATTATATTTTGACAAAATTTTGCCCAGTAAGTACAATCATGATTTTGACTCAACACGGTTTCATTCACTGTATTTTTATAACTGTCTACACTTAGTGCTAGAGTAAAAAGTATACTATTAATCATTAATAATATCGATCTTGATTATACATTGAAATGATAATATTTAGGATATATTGGGTTAAATAAAATATACAGTGTATTGAATACAAATTAGCATTTTTTCAAAATTTTAAAAATAAGCCTAATGGTATTCTGCACTGTGTTTATAGAATAACCTTCTAAGATCTTGTCCTGCCATGACCCTCCTGATCGTTTCTTTTTAAAAAGAGCGATGAATTATGTTGTTAGTGCTCGTATCAGAACTAGGTGAAGAATGCTACTGCTAGGGTGCCTGGGATCCTTAAATGGTGACTGACGCAAAGTTTATTCACCTCCTGTGCACGTAGCTGAGTACGGACGCCGACAATCTCCCTGGTTTTTCCTGAAGTCCTCCTTTTGGTTTCCACACCCCAGGGCTGACCACATGGCCCTTGAGAGCGAAATAGATTCGGATTCTCCACCTAATGATGCTTTTGAACCAGTGTCTCCAGAATTTCACGGGAAAGAAGCCATCAGGTGACAAATAAACTCCATGGAGGTGCAAAGAAAGCACTGGTCCGAGACCAGAGGTCTATGGGGCAAAGCCTAGATGTGGCAAAGATTTCCCTCGGGGCCTTTTTGTACCCACCGATGTCCAGGCTGCTACCCGCCCGAAGGGCTACCCTCTCTCGATAACACCTTGCTTTCTCACATTGGCAGCATTTACGTTTGCTAACAGCTTGCGGTACAGCAGCAACCACCTGTGAACGCATGGGGCTCCTATTCCCGTTTTCTCTGTTTTCTGCTCTGCATGCTTTGCTCTCTTCCTCTGCCTGCTCTCGTTGTGACAGACGCTGCCACCACCTCCCTGGTTAGTTTGACCCCCTTTTCTGTGTGATTCACTCGGTCCCTCGCCCCTGTGCCTCCTGGTTAATATGATGAGAAGGAAGAGGCAGGCGAGGCGGGAAAGGGAGGCAGACTCTCCAGGGAGATGGGCAGGAAAGGTACGTTAGGGGTGCTCATGCCCTGCGCCTCTTCCCTCTGAGGCAGCCTGTGTATTTTACGTCCTGCTGATTCCCTTATTTCCAAGCAACTAGAAATCCCTGAATTCTTTAGACTTTTGCTCAAAACTTGTCTGTGATTCAGCGTTGACTTTATTTCACTCCTCAACGACGCCTTTCCAGTCCACTTCTTCCTCTCACCTATTTTAACTGAATCGTTGTGATATTGAGAGTCTCTGCGGAGTTAGCTTCTCAAGCACAGAGGTTTAGAAGGAACAGACACCGCGGCAGTCTTCTGTTGTTCTTCAGGAGTTCCTGCCGTATTGTCCAGAATTGCCATCTCTCTCCGAGCTGGAACTCGAAGTTCCACGTCCCTTCCAGGGTCTGAGCCAGAACCGGGTGCGATCAGGGCTAAGCAGAGACTCTCACATATCTGACTGTCGGGATGGCCTAGGAGGTGTGCTCTGTGCACTGGAAACCCAAGGCTGCCGTCCTGCTTCGTCGCTGTGGCCTGCACGGCCACCAGCGGGCCAGTGCACGGGGCTCTGCAGCTGTAGGCCGTTCTGTCCCAGAGGCCAAGGCAGCTGGGCTCACAATCACTCCTCAGGATAGAAGGCAGAAGGATGGAAATTAAAATGCATGACTGTGCCAACCAGAGTGGATTCTGCCTAATGTAGAATGTACTGCCTAAACATGAAGACTATATTTTATTAAAACGTGGGGGGCGAAAATCCGTCATTCATATTGTGTATTTGGTAGGAGAGAATAAAACCAGCTAACAGCCATTAGTGCCTGAAAAAGAAAAGGTGGGGAAACAGAGCCGAAGAAAAGCCAAGCAACTTGCCCAGTGCCTCACAGGTTTGGGTAAGAGGCAGTACTCGAGCGACATGTGCTCAACTCCAAGGCCATTGCACCTCACTGCCCATCCTCTCCATAGCTAGTCCCGTACTTAACTGGATTATACCCAGGCTATGACTGAATGGTGCCCACCCCCCAAGTAATGCAAATTAGTGTCTTTATAAGAAAAGGAAGAGACCAGAGCTCCCTGCCACAGCAAGAAGGCAGCCATCTGCAAGCCAGGAAGGAGGCCTCACCTGCTGGTTTGTTGTGAGGATGTACAAAAATAATGCAGATGAAATGCATGGGACTTGACTTAGAGCAGACCTTCAATGTATTTTGGATTTTTTCCCTCTGTAATCAGTTTCCCTTATCTTTGTCCCCTTATCTCATCTTGTTTGGAAGTTTTCTATACACCAAGCATTCTGCACTGTACGCATAGTATCTTAGCCAAACCAACAGGTGAGGGCTCCTTCCTGGCTTGCAGGTGGCTGCCTTCTTGCTAATGTCATCGACATTTTACTGCTGAAAAACTGAACTCAATGAGTTTAGAGTCCATGGAATCTGTAAGAGAGCTGGTGATTGGCACAACTGGGACTTGACCCAGGCCAGGACGGTCTCGCTCTGAAGTCCCCATCTTTCTACTGGGTGTGCCACTCCTTTTTCTACACCAGTATGGCCACCATAGTATTCTCCTCGTTGCTTTAATTTCCTGCTTTCCTCTCAGTCAGTCATCTGTCACAATCCTCAGAGCGTTCTATTGCCATGCGCTGGTTTGTAGTGTAGCCTGTTCCATGTACCATGACCAGGGGTGTTGTCTTTGACGAGAGGCCCTAGAAGCTTCTGCAGGTCACCTGGGCCTGTGTGAAGGAAGACAATCCCCAGGTTCCCTCACAGCCTCGGTGACTTGATGTATCAACCCTCTGTCCTCTACGGTCTCCTCAAAACATTCTCGTCTTTTATTTTTTTGCAGAATAAAAAACCTTAAAAAGGAATATAAAAAAGGAAAGCATGGAACAGTAGAAGCTTTGGAAGGTAATAAAATGTCATATTTAACATGGCTGGTTGGTTTGGAGACTATGTCTCACTGGGATGCTGTCTTGGTAGAGTAAGAACGGATATTCCGGCTGTCGTGATGCTCCTTTGTTTGAACACAGTACGCTTCCTTCCCAGTAAATGAAAAACCATGTAACGATTTTAGAAAGTTGGCTGCACCCTTGATATTCTACGGGTTTGAGAGATGTGTGATGCCATCATGATAGTTTATTTTCCACTCATCACATTCTCTAATCTTAAAGCTATCTTATTGCAGTCAGCCCATCTTTAATAACAAAACTGCTTTGATCTTCAAAATTGTTAATCATATAATAATATATTATGGTAATATTACAGCTATAAAGTGTGTATCACAGCAGGTGCAATTTTAAAGGAAAGAATTCGGGGATGGATTTTATTTTGACTAAAGCTAGCCAAATATACTCATGTTATAAGAATTTATGAAAATTTCAGAGAATGTAAGGTTACTATGTAAGCTCTGACTGTAACTTTTTTGAAATAATGCCAGGTCTGGTATTGGACATATATGAAGGCCAGATCACTGCACTCCTTGGTCACAGTGGAGCTGGGAAAACAACCCTGTTAAACATACTCAGTGGACTGTCGGCCCCAACATCAGGTGATAAAACAATTATCCAATGATGAGAACATGGGCAAATGAGTGAACTGTGCATTTCATTAGTTAATTAGTTTATTACTTGATTTCAATAGTAGTTTCATTAACTACTAGTCACACTCAGGTATTTTAAAGTTTTGGAAGTTTCTTCAAGTTATTCTTTTATAGATTCATGTTCTCTTTATTTAGGAAAGTCTTTGTGGTTTAAATATTTCCTGATAAGTAGTTTTAGGCTTATTAATTGGCATCCCAACTGGATCAGATGTATTATGAACATTAAAATTTTAATTAGTCAATAGTGTATTCCTTACAGGTAGGTAAAATATCTTTAAAGGACTTTAGTTATGGACATATATTGTTTGTTTGTTTGTTTTCATTTAAAAATATCTTAAATAAAGCATGTAACATTACCCTGGTGCTGTCTTTCTTTAACTTTTAGGATCAGTCACCATCTATAATCACTCACTTTCGGAAGTGGCTGACTTGGAGACCGTCAGCAAGCTCACTGGAGTCTGCCCACAATCCAATGTGCAATTTGGCTTCCTGACCGTGAGGGAAAATCTCAGGCTCTTTGCTAAAGTAAAAGGGATTCAGCCACAGGAAGTGAAGCAAGAGGTAGATTCCATGTTAGATGTCACACAGCCATGGAGATGAAATTGCTTACCTAGGAAATTCTAAATGCATTTGTGCTGTTTCTACCAAGTCCATTGTCCAAAGGGCAAACAGCCCCCTTGTAATGAACAGCAAAATGACAGTGTTTTAAAAATAAACATGCTGGGTTTTAGACCAAATATTCTTTATTTGGTTAGGTACAACGAATTTTACGGGACTTGGAAATGGAAAATATTCAAGACATTCTTGCTCAAAATTTAAGCAGTGGCCAGAAAAGGAAACTCACTTTTGGGATTGCCATTCTAGGAGACCCTCAGGTAAATGGAACTAAGATTACCGGTGACATCAGATTGAGGACTGTGAAATTATTATATTCAGTCAGACTCAATTTGTAAATGCTAAATGCAAAAGAGCAGTTACAGTAAAAAACTAAGTACTAAGCTATTTCTCCAAATACGTCTACTAGTATATTGCTTTTTAAAAGAATTCTGCCTGGAAGGGGAAAATGATTTTATATGTTTTCCTGTTGTGCAGATTTTGCTACTGGATGAACCAACTGCTGGATCGGATCCTCTCTCAAGGCACCGTGTGTGGAACCTTCTCAAAGAGAGGAGATCGGACAGAGTCATTCTCTTCAGCACCCAGTTCATGGATGAGGCTGACATCCTGGCTGGTGACCCTTGCTTTTCTTTCATGTATCTTAGTTGAGAAATCGGGAACACGTGTGGAATATGTATAGATTCGTTCCAACACAGTTGCCATGTGCTTGGCTGCCATGAGCCAAGACAGGAGAATCTTTTGCCCATTTGAGTACCTACATCCCCGAGTACATTGACCCTAGTGCATTGGTTGTAAAATACGTAGCTCTTCTCAGAGATATACTATGCTGCATTCGGTATGAATGTCAGCTGGCTTGAAACAGATCCTTTCAATGTATGATAAGTTTTCTAAATACACTAGAGAATAAACTAACATAGGCATATCATTTTAGTTACTGGATGACAAAGAAAGTGGCCTACATGTGATCAGAATTCGAATGCATCTGTTTTAGTGGGCCATGCTCGTAAAATGCATTGTTTATTAATGGTTTGTTCTTTTATAAATAGTGAAAAAACAACTCAATACCATTTTTTGTCCTGTTTTTTTTTTTCTACTTAGATCGAAAGGTGTTTATATCCAACGGGAAGCTGAAGTGCGCAGGCTCGTCCCTGTTTCTGAAGAAGAAATGGGGTATCGGCTACCATTTAAGGTAGAAACTTCTTGTTGGAGGCAGGTTAGAACAGGTTGGAGATGCTGAGGACAGGTGATATCAATATTAGTGTGTTGAAGTACTAATATTACACAGGACGGGCTACACAACTGGTGTGTTCATTTCAAGAGACCTGTGTTTCAACTGAGCCACAACGGCTCTTTCGTAGCTAGAACAAAGGATATGTGGAGTCGCAGACGTTAAGACTATACCAGTGATTAAGCCATGTTTCAATACAATTTTTGGAAAATACTTTCACAGCACCTTGTTTGCTAAAAGAAATGTATCTATATTCTAGCCCTTTCTCTTATCATGTTTCGGATGCTTATTTTGGCTTATTTTGACAATTTCAATAGCCTCCCCTCGGTGCCCCCTGAATTCATTTTCTCCTTCATTCTCTCCTGTCTCCTCTCCAGCTCATAGTTACTGTCATTATTAAGCAAAGCCTATCTAAGCATTGGCTGTGTTTAGGTACTTGCTAAGATATGGACACACAGAGTGCTCATATGATCATATTTAATCACCCAGATGACTTCCAGATGGTATTACCGTTCTTCTTTGATATGGTGCAGAGTTTTAATAATCTGCCCAACTCACATAATTTATAAGTGGTAGAATTTTTGGACCAAGATAACAGGTGTGATATGAATTGCTCCCTATATTTCCCACTAAAATATTAATATTTCTTTAAAAAAATAATTCAGGTCACTTTATCCCCAGTGATTAAATGAATTCCCCCATTATTTACTCCAGGTGTTTGATCTGGTCAAGTCTACCATCTCAGCATGGTTGTTTGGTATGACCTCATTGAACCCATACTTTCCAACTGAAAGGAACCACCCACTGTTCTCTAGGCGTGTTCCGTGGTCTTGCCTCTGCTTGAGATGGGACATCTGTTTAACACATCTTCCTCCAGCTCATTCAAACTATGTTCCAATCTTATCCATTCTGGAAGGTCTTTTCTGAATGTTTTCTCTTTGAAAAGCACCCACTCTTCTGGAACCCTGAAAGCATAATTTTGAATTGTTGCCTTAGGCTATTTAAATTCCTTGATTGTCAGTAATTTCATTTATAGAACAGCAGTAATAACACCTACTTTTCGTTTAAGGCTAAAAATATTGGACAGATGAGTAATTAACAAGGTGCAAAGTACTTAATTGTTTAACTCAACTTCTCCCTCACTTATTTTATAATATGCTGCTCTATATTATATTTATATCATGTTATATATATTTATATTATATTTTATTATGAGCTCTGTTAGAGAAGGTTCTTTATTCTTCTTATTTGGTATCCTAGAGATGCTTAGCACAAAACCTTGTAAACACACAACAGCTTTTACTAAAATCTATTTTTTTTAAGTTCATGTCATCAAAGTCCGCTGTGATACCTCATCATTCTATAGCCTCAGTAAATTTCAGTGCATGTGACTAATAACAGGATTGCTCAAATCTAATGATTTCATGAAGAACTTTGTGTGTTCTCATAACAAGACAGACTAGCTTTGGCTTGAATACATTTTGGATTTAAAAAAAAATAGTAGTAACACCAGCTAACATATATTGAGGGCTTACTTAGTGCAAGGTCCTGTGCTATCTTATACATATTTTATTTTATTCTGTATTTTGAAATTTTTTCAGAGGTTAGTATTGTTTGATTTCACAGATGAGAACACTGATGCTCAGAGACATTAGACCTTCATTCTGGAGCATGGATCAGTAGAACAATAAAACCATGTTCTTAACAACTGTACCAAACTACCTCTGTCTTTGTTTTTCCCATGTTCAAGAGCTAGTTTTTGCAGAACTCATACTTTACAGCAAAGGGAGAATTCAAAGTTGAGCTATTGAACAGATGGAAACAACATTGGGCATTCTCTCCCACCTCAGCTCAGCCAAGACCTAGCCAAATATCTCTTTTCTCCAAATGACAATCCTTGAGTCACCTTCTCTGTCTCTAACATCCCTTATACCATGGGGTATAGATGATATGGTTTGGACTATATTATTATTTTTATGTCTCACTTCTTCCATTAGATTTTACATGTTTTGTCTCACGAACATTAATGAAAGCACAAGCACGTACTACAATTGTTTGTAGAGATAGTGTTTGAGAAAAATAACTCTAATTTACTCTTTTTTAAATGTTAGTTTGCATTTGAATGAAATGTGCGATCCAGACAATATAACATCACTTGTTAAACAGCACATCCCTGATGCCAAATTAACAGCACAGAGTGAAGAAAAGCTCATATATATTTTGCCTTTGGAAAGGACAAACAAATTTCCAGGTAACAGAATGTAGAGACTGCAGAATGATTTATACTGATGTTATAATAGCATTAGTTCTGTTGCATTTATTATTGTAAATGTCTAACAATTATCCCTAACATGAAAGTATAAATCTATTTGCTAGACAATATTTCTTAAGTAAATAATGGGGTTGTAAACATATAAATTTTGGGTTGACATATTCAATCCATCCATAACATTCCCCATAATTTATCAATTAAAACTTTAAAAACACATTAAGTAAAATGTACTAATTTATTTTAGAATCCTTCACATATGTAGTTTTCTAAGAATGAAAAAAATAAATGTTTAAAATTTTATACTCAAGAAGACATGGAGACTAACATACTGTATTAATTATTTTATAAATAAGGGAATGTCTATATGATAACTTTGTTTCCGATTAATGCATTTGGTCTATCAAAAGTATTTTCTGTTTTTAAAAAGCATAGTTATTATCAATCTCATTAAAATTATATTCCGTTGGTGCATTTTTGTGTCTACCTTTAGACCTTTACAGGGATCTTGATAGATGTTCTAACCAAGGCATTGAGAATTATGGTGTTTCTGTAACAACTTTGAATGAGGTGTTCTTGAAACTAGAAGGAAAATCAGCTATTGACGAATCAGGTAAAAAAAAAAGAATTTTATATTTCTGTGCAATATTTTATCTTGAAAATATGCTTTGAATGATGAAATTATATACTTTTGGAGTATAATGATTTATTCTAGTCTTGGGAAAATATAGAGCAGATAGAAATGTACTTCTGTTTCCTTCCCTTCTCTCTCAATGCTGGTCTCCCATCTTGAATTTCCTATTTTGTACCATGCATTTTACTAAGCATGTGGAATACTGCAGTATGTAAGACTGGATCTTCATGGAGCAGACAATAAGTACATAATATAATATTCCTTGTGTATAAGAGCTATAGAGAAAAGAAAATTAGAGTTGTAGATTGACAGTTACTTTTCTTATATTTTGATTATATCATTCCAATGTCTTCAGGGTTCCATTGTTACTGTTGAAAATTTTCTGTCTGTCTAATTGTCATTACCTTGGAAAGTGTTCTACCTTTTCTCTCTAGTGACTTTAAGATATTTCCTTGTTTCTGGTTTACGATCATCCTACTGTGTGTACTCTTTACCGTACTTTTCCATTTTCTGGGTGTGTTTTTCTGATTGATCAAGTGGGGTTTTATTTTTAATCCTTTTTTAAGTTATACACTTGATTATCTTTTCTTAGTGGTTACACTTACCTTTTAATGTTCATGTAGCTTTCTGAAAGTCTAGAGTTGGTCAATTTCTCTAGGCGCTTCTTTTATCTTGTTTTCAACTATACCTATATTTTAAAATATTTTTTATCTACCAATTTCATATTTCCAGAGGGGAAAGGGAAGGGGGTCTATGTGTATTAACTCTTCCACTTGGGTCAGAAGTACTAAGATAGTTTATCTCTTGCCATGAATAGATTGTTCTTCTTGGCTAAATATAGGTTTCTTTCCATTGATTTCCCTATAATGAATTAAGTCCTTTAAAGTTGTAGTCACAGAACTTTTTTTTTTCTTCAGAAAATACAAGGTTTTCTTTTATTATATCATTTTTTTCTTCTTGTAGTGCATCTTTTTTGTTTTTGTTTGCTTGTTTTGCTTCATTCTCATTTCTCTAGCAGGTGCTCAAGTAAAACCATGAATTAGATTACTGGTACCTTTGTCCAAGACTCTCTACTCTGACACCACGGGGTGAATTAGATGATCATAGGGAAATCGAAATAATTCACATTTTAAATGGCACTTTATAAATTACTGATTTTACATTTTCTAGATATTGGAGTTTGGGGACAGTTACAAAGTGATAAGACAAAGGACACAGGAAGCCTTGTTGAGCTGGAACAAGTTTTGTCTTCCTTTCATGAGACAAAGAAAGCAGCCAGCAGCATGGCTCTCTGGTGGCAGCAGACCTGTGCAATAGCAAAAGTCCGCTTCCTAAAGTTAAAGAATGAAAAAAAACCTCTGATGACCATGTGAGTACCCAAGGGTTTCAGGTGTGTTTGGTAGGCACATTCAAAATAAATTCAAGAGAGAGAGAAGGGGACTACAACTCCAGATGAAGTAAATTTCAGCAACTGTATGTGGCCTTTTTAACATGGAAGCCAATTTTTTATTGCTTAGGTGAGTGTGTAATTAAAATAGATAAAGTACGAGGGTTTTCTTTTAATTTCACAAAGAATCTGCTCTTATCAAAGGGTTGATGTAGTGTACCGGAAGCATGAAAGTTAACACTTAGGTTCCATCCCAAAGACTTGCCTCTGTTCCAGCCATAGCTTAGCAGAGGCTTCACTTCACTCTCTGGAACCTCTACAGTTCCCTCCAGCTTCTGGTTCTTCACTGAATACTACCTCTTTGCATGAGCCCTGCTCTCCACCCAGGACACTCATTCATTCAATGATATGTGTGAGCACCTCTGCATAACACTGTGGCCAATGTGTGTAACACTTATCAAAATAGATCAGACATGAGATTTGGCTTGTGAAGGTATTAGAAGAACTGCAAAAAAGCATAGTGAAAAATTGGACCAATATTGTTAACTATAGCATTCAGTATAAGATATATTATGTCCAAATAGGGGCATCAGCCTGGCAAGCGTAGCTCAGCAGTTGAGCATCGACACATGATCCAGGAGATTGTGGTTTGATTCCCAGTCAGGGCACATGCCTGGGTTGCAGGTTCTATCCCCAGTGGGGGACATTCAGGAGGCAGCCAATCAGTGACTCATCATTGATGTTTCTATCTCTCTCTCTTCCTCTCCCTTCCTCTCTGAAATCAATAAAGATATATTTTTTAAAAAACAAATAAGGGCATCATAAGAAGAATTTTACATGAGAGGGAATTTGAACTTGGTGTAAGAAAGTGGAATGTTTAGCTAAGGAGAGAAAGCAGGGTGGAAATTCAGACAGAGGGAGCAGTTCTGAGCATGCAGATGCATGCGCAACCTGAAGAACTGTTATTAATTTGAGTTCACTGCAACATAGAGTATGCAAAAAGTAAAACTAATTTTGATAATATATTACATAGAGCTAGAGAGTTCGGACTTTGGGACTAATAAGGAACTACTGAAGCTTTATTTTTCTGGTTATTCTGTTCAATGCCAAGAAACTTAGCAGAGCAACAATACAAATGGTGTGGAAATAGAAGACACTGGATACAAGGGGAAAAGCCATTTAGGACAATATTAAAGGAGGTCAGGAAAGATATAATTAATGTCCAAACTTGAAAAGTAGAAGAGAGAATATGTGCAGGCAATAAATAATGATGATATGACAGATAGAAATTTTCTACCATTTGGAAAAGGGATGGATGGGAGAGAAATGAGTATAAAATAATCGAGCTTCGGAGCCTGAGTGAATAAGAAAATGTTGTAATTTATAGAAATTGGAGATAGGAGAGAGCAAGTTTCAGAGTGTAGTAAGTCTAGGTATTGGTGATATGCCAGCTTGCGGTGGTCCCCAAAAAAGAAGAAATGCAAGACCGAGACAGAGCAAAGATGTGGGCACTGGAGAGATTTAAGTCATAATCAGCAGATTTCATGACCTTGAATGACATATTTAAAGGTACAGGGAGGCATCTGGGGAGAGAGAAATACCAAGGATAGCTTCATAGGTACCATCTCATTTTAGAAAGAAGGAAAGGTGAGGAAAAGCATGATTTGTGTATTGGTTAGTGTTTATCATTTATTTCTATTAATATATCCACTATCTGCCCAAGTGTAAAAACCTACAAAAGTTGCTGCACATGAATTTTTTTAATTTTCTCTTACCCTTTTCTTTATGCAGATTACTGCTTATGAGCATTAGCTTTTTCCCCCCGTTTTTGGAATATCTATTCTATAAGCTATATGGAAGGAGTTATTCTTGGGGACTGTCTCCTGATATGTACTTCCTCTCACCGGGACAACCGCCTCAGGCTCCTCTGACACACTTACTGGTCATCAACAAAACAGGTGAACTTGAAGCTCAAATGCCACCTGTAAATGTTGTTCTTGTTGAGAGATTCCCCAGGCAGCATAAACCATGAAGGAAAAATAGATTCTGTATGTCTTAGAAATCACACATGATGCCAAACAGAAAATTAATTTAAAAATGACAAAGAGAGGGTTGGAAGTTTGGTTTTAGAAACACATTTGGCAAATTTGCTTAACCGTTGGCTGATGCTTGAGATCTTTCCATAACATTTTTCAAGTACTAGATGCATTCTTGGGCTCTGGAAAAAAAGTATGTTCCAAATTTCTAAGAAAATAGGAGATGAATATCTTCCAGGATTACAGAGTTAATTTTCAATAGTATTTCTTAACTTTATTTTTATTGTGGACTCTATTACAGATGCCCCCATTC